GACGAATGCGCGACCACCGTGCGTTCCGGTGCAAGATTGGATCGGTCTTGCCTTGGTAAACGACCGTACAAAATTTCATATTTGTCCTCCAGCTTAGATGACGAGCCTTATTTGTGGCTTGTTCATGGCTTCGGTTTCTGAAGGTGACGAATGGAGTTGTCATCAATTGTTCAAAGGCAGAAATACTTCGAAACGAAAAAAAGAAGACAAATTAGGCATAATGGCGAGGCAGTTAGACTCTAGGGACTGCGATGGTTCAAGGCAGCGCAACAAAGGCACATAGGACGAATTGTATTTCACAAATTAGTACTTTGATGGATTCGTTAGTAGTTGGTTGCATCTATTTCTACCAGAAAGTTAACGTAGGATACAAATCTGGCGAACGTTCGTTAAAATCCAGTAAGGACACCCTACTTAAGAACGTCAACAGGTCAGTACGAGCCTGTCTCTTCAACACAGCCATTTTGCTAGCAATGCTGATACGGCAACGACAGCTGTGCGCTTATGAAAGCTGAAGGTTATCATCTGAATGTTAGCGAGGGAACCACGAAAAAAAGGAATGTTGGGGATTTCACTTCACCGTCGCATCCTCAGCGTTGAAATCGGACAGCAAATCAGAGGATAAGATGTTATCGTGGAAAACGGAAGGAAATATGCGATGAACTGGTTGTGTGGCTCGGGTCAGTGATCATCGTTGATGGCGGCTATCTTCGAGCGGTTATCAGCGGGCTTCTAAAAGTCCGTTAATGAACTATAAAAGAAGCGAAGATTTCATCTGGGGATTACAGAGACCACGGGACCAAGGAAGGCTTGAATGAGAGAAGAGTGAAGGAAGTGTTGTGTGATCGGCGCAGCTTCATTATTATTTTTGTACTGGATACAGTACTGGATAAAAGCCTCCAAGACTCATGGTCTTCTATTTTCTGCCCTCTTCATCCATCGTGATCCAGCGACCTTCTATCATCGGTCTGGAGGCCTTCCTACGGTCTGTTTATTCTCTTCTGGAATCCATTCTGCTGTCTCTCTGGTCCAGTGATGATCGGTACTTCTTGCAGCGTTTATTTTTAACTCCTGCACTCGGGCAATAACATTATCGATTCATGTTTCTCCTCCTACCCATTCATGCTTCTTTTTGTCTTCTGCCGTTATCCCTGACATACACCATTTCATGCGTTGTGGAGGTCTGCTGTTTATGAACATCTTTCAGGCTTAGGGTCTACGTTTCTCACCCATAGTTCAGCAGCGAAAGCACACACTTATCGAATGCTTTACGTTACAAGCACAAGAACAGGTTCCCTGATATTCCTGATAGAAATATTATCAGTGTTCGAAAGGCGATACGTATAGGCACGTTTTATGATTGCTGAATACCGGTTGGTCAACGACGATCAACGTTTTATTAGCATTAACTTCAAGATTGCATTGGCCTCTGAAAACTGATTTTGGGGTTGAACCAAACTACTGTTCACGAGGCATTGCAACCGCTTAGCAAATCGAACTGGTGAAAACTAGTTCGAAAAAGTCGAACGCCATGCTACTTCCGTTTGGAACTCGTCTGTTAATGAGGATGATCTTTACTGCAGTAGCCGTTAAGCCTATGGTAAATTTCAGACCAACCATTATAAGCAGATCTGACGTCGCTAATCCGCGAAACTGCGCTTCGTCTGCACGTTGTTGTGCTTAGGGCACCGGCAGTGATGGTGATTTGCTGTTTTCATTCCGACCCTGATCCCGATGCCGATCGTCGGGTACGGGTCTGTTACGGAGCGAAGGCACATAATGCAATACGTTATTTACACTGTTGGAACGTCCGGTTTCGCCGGCGCGGACCCAGGATATTATTAATGCAGCGGAAGCAGATGTTTCATTTCGCATTGCGCGTGAGATCACCTGACCTCGGCCATTCATGAACCATATCAGCCAGGTGACCTGATGTCGTGGTCACAGTTGGCCAGCGTGTGATCAGCTGATCAGCGACCGTCGTCGAAGACGGTTGACCACGTTTGTGTCGCTCGCCTACCTGTTTGGATGGAGGCTGACGCAGGTGTTGCTTATGCCGTCACGTCGCAGGGAGGCTGCCGCCGGATTGTTCACCGACTGCTCGCCTCGTTCTAGACGCTGACCATCTGCCGTCCTCACTAGTTATTTGCACACCCAACACCAGGCGAACTCAGGCGAAGGCAGTGACGTCGCTGCGCGCCGCAATCCAAGCACGTAGTGTTCGCGCTCAACGCGTCGTCGTCAGCCGTCAGCCGTCAAAGGGTCAGCGGTCCACCTCCTCCGTTGTTCGACGGACTGCGTCCTCCTCAAATGCTGGACTGCGTATTTCTGCTCATCAGCTCATTCCACAGATCGTCCGAGTCGGACACTGGCAGCAACCTAACGAGTAAGTGCCTTGTTTGCGCGTTCAACTGCGTTTGGACACCGCCCACCTGCAGTCGTCGATCAGGTTCACAAAGTCGGTAGAACGCTTAACTTGCAGGAGATAGGTTGCGCCCCACTGCGAGTCACACCAGGTTGCGTCACAAGCATTTCGTTACTCCCTTTCATGACAGTGAAACAATCACAATGTATTATTACTACATTGCCTCATAATTGGATTCTTCGCCTCGATAGATGTCAAAGTACGTTCTTCACGTTGATACCGTAATGTCAAGAAAAGAAGGTTACTACTACTAGTGACTTCCATCGTGAAAACGCAGGGAGACTGCCATACGAACACTTACAATCTTTGCCTTCTCTTTCCACCTATCAAACGTCCATCTCACCTGCAACCTAAAATTGAGGTGTCACAACTTGGTACTATCGTTCTCGCTCGCCTATTTCAATTTTTTTCAATACGTGCCTGTACTGAAATATGGTTTCGTTGCCGGAGTACGTTAATACGTGCGTAATTCCATTTCACGGCTTATTGTACCGCCCCCGTATCTGTTGTTGCCTACGGGTGGTACTTAAGCAGCCGCGGTTCCATGGTGTTTTAGCACTGACTGTATTAGACATCTTGCATCGCATCGTTTTATTTGTTGTTGCTAATCAGTTTTCCTGTGGCTTATTTTACTCACGCAACTCTTCATAAACATAAGCATGTCAGTTCATACGCCAGATTGTGTTAACCGGTATTTGTGAGGGGAGAGGCCGGAACAACATATTGTGAATTAAACATGCTAAATGCACTTAACACTCTAGGTGTGATACAGTGTGATTGATTCCTGGTCTACATTAATGTACTTTGAGCAACTGGGAGCAGACAGATCGTGAAATCTGATTTAAAAGGAAAGAGAAGTTGGTCAACGTTGGAATGCCCGTCTTCTTTCACGTTCATGACTAATTCATTTTTGCGCCCATCTTTTCGCGAAGTCGGTGGTGTGGTGCTGATCTCCATTTCTTTGCCTTCTGCCCGGAATACCCTATTTTAAAGGCAGAGTTTACTGCCACGTGACAAGTGTAGCGCGTAGTTTCCTGTTTCCTTCTCACAGAGCAGTACTCATTTATCAACCTCGGAAGGAAGAAGGGCGAGTGACCCTGATCAGGGTTTGAACTCGGGACTTACCGGTTCTGGGTTCGACGCTCTACCGATTAGGCTACCCCGGTCTGAAGCAATGTGTGATCAGTTCCTTACTCGGAAATTCGTGAATACGACAGATTCATCTCGAGCGGAATCGAACCCCATATCCCCCCCCGTACCTCCGGTGTTCGAAGCAGGCCTCGTACACAACTGTGTTCACATGCTATCGGTTAAAGGACTTATGCTACAGTTCTGACCTTATTGTGTGGAACGGTTCCTCGGTGCCACGTGGCGATATCCACGTGATGCCCGAAGATCTTCGAACCGATTCGTTCGACAGGACAATATGAATATGTGACTCGTGGGGTCACGTTTGTGACAGCGCCGGCCGCGAAACTGGGGAAATCCTGATGAAATCGATTGATGTACGTACGTGAAACGAAGCATTTAGTTTTTGCAACAACCAGTCCAAACGTCGGTTTGACTCGTTAAGCGCGCTTTTCAGCCGCATTTCGGACCTCACTCTCCGCATGTTTTAGAGTTCATTTAGCAAACGATTTCATAAATGCGACCTCTCATCCGTGTGTAGAAGAGATTCTAACAGTTCTTGATGACCCAGTAGGTTAGGGGCAGACAGTACATCTGGGTTACTTTGCTGTTTAAGGCCTGCTGTCTTCAGATGACGATGAAATGGCAACAGCAATCTTTGTCGTATTTGCGCAATTGCCCTGATCATTACACTGGGCTGTTTATGTAAGCGAAACACTTCCGGTTTGCTGCCCGATACAATGGCAACTTTAAGCACTGCTGCTTTGAAGCAAGGGTGAACAAATATTCTCCGGAAGCAGATATGCCTCTGCCTTGTTCACCCATGTTGCATGCTAGTCTCCTACCCGATGTTTGCCCTGTTTTGGCTCCCATTCGAGATGCTCATGGGTTGAAGCAAATAATGTATGCTCAACCAATTTTTCTGACGCGCCAAACCTGCTTTTTTTAATTTCCACATCTGCTGAGGTCTCTTGTGCCCGG